ACTATGTCACTAGAGATTGAGTTTAGTACTTGAGTCCACATTTATGATGTTTGCATTGCAGGGAACATCAAGTCAGTTCTGTACAAATCATTGCTATATAATAATGTGTTCTAGGAGGTTATATAGTATGGGTCCACCAATTAATTTCATCATAATGAAAAATGGGAAAACAAGAAATCCCCATGACACAGTTTGGTTTTAAATGATCTAATTATAATTCATTTCACGTCTAAACATTATGCTATGATTTTTGGTTTGGAAATACATTGCATTTATTTTTCTTGGCAAGCACAAATAATGTATTAAAAAATAGGGGAGAACTTTGCGTGTTATGTTAGAAAGGGAAGCAGGAAGTCAGTTATCTTCACAGAATGAATGCTGAGTTTTTTTGTTATTGTTGTTCCTTTTTGAATTGTTTTATCCTATGAGTATGTTAAGTAAAGAGTAAAAGTCTTCAGTGTCTCTCCCTCCTGCCACCCCCAGTTCCACTTCTTGGCTGGTTAAATAGCTGGACTTTGGAGTCAGATCAACCAGGGTTGAGTCCAGCTCTAATCGTTTCCTAGCCACAGGCTCTGGGAGAGTTGCCCATCCTCTCTAAGCTTCTCATCTTAAAAATGGGGGTAACAGGGGTTCCTGGGTGGCTCGGTTAGCTAAATATCCGACTCTTGATTTTCGCTCAGGTCGTGATCTCAGGGTCATGAGATCAAGCCCTGGGTCGGGCTCTGCACTGAGCGTGGAGTCTGCTTAAGACTCTCTCCCTTTCCCTCTGCCCCCTACCCCGTGCTCTCTCTTTTTCTGAATAAAAAAAGGTGGGGGGGAATAACAATAAGACCCAGCTCCTAATGTTGTGAGATTCAATGAGATCATGCAATTAATCTTTTTGAATAATGCCTGGCATATGGTATATATTCAGCAAATATTAACTAATATTAATATTTATTTTAACATTAATAGTTGTAATATTATTATATTTTGGCGTAGACATTGTTTATGTACTATCTGAAAGGAAAATGTCTGCTTCCTTTGATGTTCTACTTCCCAGTCATGTTGAACATTAAGATTAGAAGAAAACTCTAGAGTTCTCTGATTTCACCACTGAATAACAGGAGGTGATTTAAAAATGTTCCCTGCAAAAAATTATAATTCTAGTATTCAATACCAGGAAGAAAAAAAAATTGACACCATTTACTTCCCAGATAGAGATGCAAACAGAAATAAAACACAGCTGCTGTTATCATCCATTGGCACCATCTCTACTTGGTACCAAGAGAGATAATGATCTTGCAGTGTAATTTTATAAGGAGATAACAAAATCAATTACATTATCTCAAGTGTAAACCCTGAAGGCCTTATCCCATTGCTGGTTAAGATAGGCTATAACTGGGCAGCTGTTCACCCACCAGTATAGATTAATTTAGATAAAAGAAAACATAGGTTAATAAATTAAGATTTGACAACATACGAGTATAGATGGTCTTACAAGTCTGATATTCAAGAATGAAACCAGCAATACAATTGATGGATAAAACGTCAACACAAAGCAACCATGGACATGAGTGAAGGCAGTAATGTGGACAATTTGGTTCATTTTCCATTATTAAATGGTAGAGTCCTCACAAAAGCTTGAAAAAATCTGCAAACCCTTAGGGTCCACTGAAACTCCATGCAATCTTATAAAATATTATGAACCACAAAAATAAAAGGCTAAAAAGAAATGTAGGAGGCTGCCGGGATATGTTGTTTCTACAGTTACAATGACTATAGGGCTGGTAGGATCCCTTTTAAGGTGTAGGGATTGAAGTAGATAATGTCTTTTGCTGTTATGAAACATAAGCTTTATAGAAAAGATTAACTTACAGACATTCAACCATTAAATAAAATCAATAATTATGAACCTCTTTAAGCAAGTCCATGACATTTCAGAGCCAAACAAATCTGCTCTATAAGTAAACTCAACACTGACACAAGTTGAGCGACCTCAGGCAAGTTACTTAACTAAGTCTTTCAGAATAATCATAAATACCAGGTGGTATCATTGTGAGTATGAAATAACATAACTGTGCTAAAATTGTATTTATTTATTAGCACAAAATAAACACTTGAGTATAAATGATAAGAGGATTCCTATTTCTCTTAAATTTTTCACAAGTTTATATGCTTCTTTTCTTTCTATCTGAAAAAGGATTTTTATTTTAGCTTGATCCAGTGACTCTGTTCTATTTATTCCAGTTTTCTTGCAGTATATAGTTATTCTGATCTCTATATATCTTAACGTTAACATGCATTTTAACACTGACATTCTGTCCAAAAGGAAAGTTATTGGAGTAACTCTTGTTTTCCTTTGCTAGGCTAAGGAAGTTGGCAGAGTTAACCACAAGACAGTTCAATCAATAGAAAATACCCAAGGGCGGGTGCCTGGGTGGCTCAGATGGTTAAGCGTCTGCCTTCGGCTCAGGTCATGATCCCAGGGTCCTGGGATCGAGTCCCGCATCGGGCTCCCTGCTCCTTGGGAGCCTGCTTTTCTCTCTCTCTCTCTCTCTCCCTCTCTCTCCCTCTGTCTCTCATGAATAAATAAATAAAATCTTTAAAAAAAAAAAAATACCCAAGGGCTTTACAGATTCATGAGTAGCAATGATATGATGTGATTTCTTACTTGTTTTTCCTTGTCTCATTTCCTCTAAGTTTTTCATTACCTTGTATTTTAAATAAAGCAAAATCTGACTCATGCGTGGCATCTAATAAGTGTTTGTTGAGTTGAGAGGGAAGGAAATAAATATTTTAATTGTAACCAGAGGCCACAGGCTCCTCAATGGAAGCTGAACAGACCTTCATTAAATTATCCAGGTTGGAAAACATCTGCCACCTGCTTCTCGTATTCATACGAAAAATACTTGGGTTAATTTCTTGGGTTAAAGTAATTACTTATATGGGGAAACTGAACAATATATAGCATTTTTTAACTACAGTTAGGGTTCTAGTGTTAAAGGGACCCTAGAAATGAAATGCTCAACCTCCTTAGGTTGTAGAGGAGTAACCAAGGCCCTGAGAGTGTAAATGGCTCCATCCTGAGCTTCAAGAGGAAGTCATTTCCTGTTCTTTCCCATTTGAGTCTTGTCCAAGTTACTTTGTTTACTAAAACTTCCATCTATTGCAGGGACACTTACATATCTACCAAAAATATACAGGAAGATAAAGCCTGTGGTTGAGAACATCAGGTCTTGGGTCAGAGAGACCTGGTTTTAAATCCCTTTTTCACTACGTCTAAGCTCCGTGACCTTGGACACATTGTCCAAGGTATTCATCAAGTTACCTAATCTCTCTATGCCTCAGTATTTTTATCTGTAAAGAGGGGATGATAAGCTCTTGTCCTCTTCAGCAGAAATAACAAACCTTCATAGATTTATTATCGATGATAAACATGCTAATGTATATAAGGAACTATCACCAAGCCAAGTGCATACGAAGCAATCAGTATACATTAACTGTTATTATAATATAAATTAGAAGTGGGAGAGAAAGGTGAAAGGAAGCAACGTAGGCAAGGATAGACCTCTGTTTTGCTAATAATAGGCCACCGATGTGGCTCCAAGCTTCCTTACAGCCAACATGGAGAAAGAAACACGATCAATTATGGAGTTCACAGAGAAATTTGTTATATTAATTATGTATATCTGGGCAGACCAGAACCACATTCCTCTACCCGAGTCTTTTGAATTTCCAGACAAGATCTCTTTCTAGCAGATATGGCAGTACAGGTTTCAGAGACTTGATGAATTACCATAAGGGCCGTCCAAGTTTGGTCAAGACTCTTAGCGTCGCCCACAGAGCCCTCCCCCCTGTCAGGCCCCCCTCCCCCAGATTCTTGATCGTTCCGGTAGGAGAGAACCTGGCTGAGGGTCTTCCACTCAGCACATGCCATTCTCAGGAAGGCTAAAGACCTTGGAGGAGGCCAGGAATGAACTTAGGGTCATGTACCCGGGTCAGGAGCTCCTTAATTACAGGGACCAGCCTTATTCATCTTTACGTATTTACTCGTGACATCTCACAATGAGTGAGTGGCAGACGCTCCGTAAATGCTTGTGATGTGCAGTAATAAATGAACATGTATGGTGGAGTTGCTCGTATGAAAATCCTGCCATTTTAGGGCCTGGTGGTAACAGAGTGATTATTTCCAGCAAGAGGAATTTTTCATCCAACTCTGATGACAGTGCTCAAGGCGTAAATCTCCGTATTTTAAAGGAAAAATAAAATCTCTATGAACTCTTCTTCCCTGGGTACTGGTGTGCAACGACTTGTGTTATTAAATGTCGAAATGAGATAGAACTGGTTTTCTTAAAAAAGGAGAGAAGTACAATTTGAGCACCTCCAGTACCTTTCAGAAAAGGCATGCTCATCAATTACCTTTCAAGACACATACATTATTATAACTCATGTATAGTCGTGGCCTAAATCTCCTATTTCAGAAAGATGGTATATACACTTTGCTTGGGTTATCACCTACAGAGGAAGTGTGGAAAGGTTATGCTGTCTTGAAAATACTTTAAATCAGCTTATTGAAATTAAAATGCCCTCAATTTTCTTTAGAAAATATTTAAAAGTTGCTTAATTTTACATGACAGTTTTTCCATGTATTTGTTAGAATTAAGAATCCATTCCTTTTCTCTGAATCACCATTGCCAAACCAGCCTCCCTGGAGTCTCTCCTCATTTATCCAAGTTAATGAAATTGGATGAAAGATATGTTGGCATTTATTCAATATAGTGTTTCTCTTCCTTACTTGCTGGTGATTAAGGATCTCACTCCAATTTAATTTACAAGCTAGGAATCCTTTAAACGTTAAACAGGAAAATAAATGAAAAGGTTGTTTGAGATAACTGGGGCTCACACACAGCTAGCTAACTTGTTTCCATATGCTGTCTCTAAGCCTGGAATCATATTGTAGAATAAGCCTGGATTCATTCGAAATATGACATCCTTGTAACCCCCCTTTTTTTCCCCAGCCCCTTTGCTCTTACCCCGTCGGAAGCCAACATGTCCCTGAAAAATGAGCCAAGAGTAAATACCTCTGCACTGCAGAAAATCGCTGCTGACATGAGTAATTTGATAGAAAATCTGGACACGCGGGAGCTGCACTTTGAGGGAGAGGAGGTGGATTATGATGTGTCTCCCAGCGATCCCAAGACACAGGAAGGTAAAGACTGATGATCTGAGCAAGGAGAGAGTTGATCGGGGTTGCTTGGCAGAGCGCAGATTTGAAATAACCAGCAAATGATTGATCTTCCTGTGGATGTCCTTACCCGGGGCTGAGACTGCTTCATTAGCTGTGTGCTTGTTGTAGCAGGTTATGATTCTTGGGCACATGCCCATAAAAAGAGGCAAGTTAGGCTAATATCGTGTATTCTTGCAATGTCATTGTATTCCTACAATAACGTTATCTACTTGTTTGTTTTTTAGCGTGTATTCCATTCTCGGCTATTTATAAGACTCAAGGATTTAAGGAGCCTAACATACAGACGTATCTCTCTGGCTGTCCAGTAAAAGCCCAAGTCCTGGAAGTGGAACGCTTTACATCTACAACAAGGGTCAGAATGTTTATGGACTCACCTTGTGTTAGTCATTGTATATGAGTTAGCACACTGACTTCCATTTTCCTTCCTCGTAGCTAAGACTATGTTTTTAGATTTTTTTAATCACTTCTAAGCCCTCACTGCCTCTCAAGTTTTTGCTTTCCATTTAGTCTTTATTCTCGTATGCCTCTTTCCTTGTTCTGGAAAATGCCTTTAAAAAAAAAAAAGGTACCTAAGGCAATTTAAATTGCCGAGTATTTCTCTTAGTCCTCTCCTCTCCCCAATTTTCTGTTTAATGTGGGCTCCTGGGGCAGAGCCATTGCACCTAGAATGCCACATGAAAGCCAAGGAAAAGCTTAGCTTTCCTAATGTTTGTTTAGCATGAAAATCATGATGCCACCTGGGTCTTGAAAGAAAACAAGGCCAGGATGCTGGATTGGCCCGTGTCACTACCTGGAAGCACTGCTGAGCGAATTCTGACGGCGTCCTCTGCCACTCTGGTTTGCTCCTAGCACCGGCCCTTTGGGCCCTGTTCACAGGTTTTTCTCTTTGAGTCCTGGAAAGGTGTCTTCTGTGAAGGTGGACTTCATCAAGCCAAGCATCCCTCTTTGAAACGCATTGGACTAGCGGCTGTTACGGCGGCTGCCTTTGTTCTGTTACTGGCTGAGTATCACAGAGGTCAAGTCTGATAAGTAGGGGACATTGTTGCGGGCTGGCGGCCTTTGTCCCCCTAGGATAAGCTCTGGTCCCCGCAGAGGAAGGCCACCTTGGCTTCTGCCTCAGGGGAAGGGTAGAAGAACCTTTCTCCAGAGGCTGGTTCTGAATGCCCACCTTTCCTCCTGGTCTTTTGCAGGAGGGCATGCGCTACCTTGGTCCTCGTAGTTTTGCTTAGTGGTCTGTCCTGATCCACCTGTGCTTGCTTGCGTGTATCTTGACTCCTGGTTTACACCCACCTTTGTGTGCAGCCTTTCCTGTAGGCTCTTTATTGGAGATGAGTCTATACCTCCCTGATACACCACTGAGCACAGCCCACCCAGAAATGTCTCTGAGATGACCTTTGCTTTCTTATTGTGCCTCCCAGCTTTTAGACTGAGAGGGGATAAGCATGCTTGGAGAATTAAATGCCCAGACTCCAGAGCCAGGCTGCATGGTTTAATTCCTGTCTTTGCTTTGTGATCTCCAGCAAATTACTTAATCTTTCTGTTTCTCAGTTTCCTCATGTGAATGATGGGTGTAACGGTGCCTACCATATAGGTTTGTTATGAGAATTTAATAATAATAATAATAATACATAGTATTATACAAGAATATTGCATATTATATTATTGGGGAGCAAGAACTTCTGTCCCTTTCAAAGGTCTTTCTAGCCAGACGAAGACTCAAATTGACATGAGACAGATTAACAGGAGAAAATCACATTTAATTTTGTATGTATGGGAAATCCACACAGACATGGAAATTCCAAAGACAGGCAAAATGAGGTATGTATGTCATTCCGAACTACGGAGAACTGGGTATGGGTCTGGGACTTCAAAGGGGAGGAATGCAGTTCACAGGGAGTTGAACAAAGAGCAAATGTTTGGTGAGCAAATGTTTGGTAAACAAATGTTTGCTGGGCCGCTTGGAACCAAGGAGACCTGGAGGAATTTGATCAGACGGGCCTTGCTAGTTCCTCCCTGTCTACCTCAGCTAGTTCATAGTATGATGTAGTTATCTGTGCCGATAGCTTTCTTCCTGGAGCGTGTCCTCTAGCTCAATTCTTTCTAGGCAGTTGAGGGGGCAGATAAAGAGCTTTTCCGGGATCTGCTGGGTTTAGTTTGCCTTTTTTTTTTTTTTTTTTGTCATCTTCATGCCAAAGCGACCTGCCCTTGGCCCTCAACATGAGGTGTCTCCTAAAGTTATTCACGAAGATAAATATTCAAGTCCCCAAGCCAGGGCCTTCTTTTTGCTTGTACTTTTCTGTTAAGTTGAGTGAGTTTGGTTTAGTTCTGTTTAATCTTAGTCTGTGTGAGAAAGCTAAGGATCATCTTTATCCTCCTTAGTGTTTAGTTTACTAAGAAATACGAACTAAACTGATGCGGTTTCAATGTGATTCCAGGTAAATAAAAATATACTTTTTCTAATTACTGAATATATTCTGTGTGCCAGCTCAAGGCGAGGCACTTCTCTCTTTGTTTGCATGACAGCCCAATGAGGCAGATGTTATTAGGGTCCTCTCAGCCTGGAGATTTCCATTTGCCCCCTCTGTCACCTCCTACCCTTCTCCACCCTGTGCTCTGCCCCTCAAGGCTCTCCGCTTTTGTCCTCTGGTAGGACTCAGACAGTGGAGAGCCCAGATAGGAGATGGGGGTCACCTTGGGCTGGCTATGTCCCTTGAGCAATGGCACCCCTCCCCCCAAGGCAGCCATCTTTACATGGTTCTCTCCTCCTTGTTCCAGTACGTGGTCCTGCCTCTTGTCCCTTCAGGACTGGGGATGCCTTTAGAATCCCAGGTTACTGTCCTTCCCTTATGGTTTCCTTACCCCATCATGTCTTCATAAGCAGTTCCTTTATGAAAACTCCTTAAATTATTCCAATTCCGAAGAATTCCCATAATTTTGCTGGGATGTTGTCTGACGGAAGTGACACCTGGCTGAAGTTTCACAGCTGGTAGGCTGCACCACAGGGTTTCAGACCCTTAAAAGCTTCAAAAAGTCTGCGCTAGCCTGTTTCCATGGTACCATACTGCCTCATAATTGCTGAGAAGTTTAGTGTACGAAATTTGGGGTTTATATGTGAGGTATAAAACTTGACAATTGCAGTATTTTCTAGGTATTCAGTTTTCATAGGATGGGAAGTATAATCCTAGGAAACGTAGCCACTTGCCTAAATTGTATAATTTTTCTTATTTATTTGGCTCATCTTAAATTGAGTGTTTTTCACTTGAATGCAACATTTCTGGCCACTCTAAGTTTTCCTGCATTTGTCTGTATGAAACATGATGGAGGATGATGCCTGTCATGTTGGTCAAAGTAAAAGGCAGCATATAATACTGAACCCCAGAACTGGTGTTTTTCAACTTCCAGTGGTAGTAACTGCCATGAATCCTAACTAGAGGCAAAGCAAATGCTAGATTTGAATATCTACCAGTGATATGGTTGGATTTCAGGCTTAAGAGCACAAGTTGCGTTGGTTCTCGTGCTCCTGTTTTATATACTACATCTACACAGAGCGGTCACGCTTTAGAAGTTTGCAGAGTGTGCCAAACATCAGTAATGAATGACAGTGGGCCAGGAATCACGCATGGGCTTGCTGACACCAGAGCCTGGATAAACTAGCAGAGAAAGAGACATTTACTTTCTCCTACCCCAACACCTTTGGTGCCTAAACTTCCCAGCAAAGGCCAGTGTCCTCTAGGTTTTCCAAAGTGCCCAATGCCCTACCCACCCCCCTACTCCCCCTTCCCCCCCTAACTCATGGACCTTCCCTCAAGATCTCCTCTGCTCCTCTGCTTTATTTTTTTAATTTAATTTTTAATTTTTTAAATATTTTTATTTATTTTTGAGAGAGGGAGAGGGAGAGCAAGCTAACATGAGCAGGGGGGAGGGGCAGAGGGAGAAGCAGACTCCTTGCTGAGCAGGGAGCCCGACATGGACTTGATCCCTGGACCCTGAGATCATGACCTGAGCTGAAGGCAGACGCTTAACTAACTGAACCACCCAGGCGCCCTGCTCCTCTGCTTTTATAAACATCCTTCAGTTTCTTGACACTTTGTACTGTATCAAAACTGTCACCCAGGTCTGATAGTTTTTCTGATTGTGAAATAATTCACTAGTCAATACATTTGCATTTTAATAAGGAATATTTTTAAAATTTTAAATGGGGATTCATTTCAGTTAAGTAATTGGGAAGAGTATTTTGTGTGTAAGAGAATCGTTTGCTTCTTTCGCTCTAATTGTGCTGTACCTTGCTGGTCACTGCTGGTGCTTCAGGGCAGGGAGATGTTGTAGACAACGAGAGACCTTGGAATATGTTTCAGGAGGAGAAGGCATTCAATGTCATTTGTGAAGAGCAAGAAGTGGGTTAAGATCTTATCCTTTTCCTGGAATCCCATTTCTTCCAGCTTTCCTCTCACCCGCCCCTTCGGTTGTCTGTTCACTGCTTATACTTTTGGACAAGCAAAATGACTGCTGATGACTAATTAGGGTCTTCACTTGTTGTCTCCTTTACCTGGTTTCTTCTTTCAGGGTTCTGTGTGTGTGTGTGTGTGTGTGTGTGTGCGTGTTTATGTATTTGGAGCAATATGGTTTGTGGGAGTTTGTCTTCGGTGTGATTCAGAGTTTGTCTTTATGTATATTATGAGATGAACATCTAAGGGATGCTATTTCTGTAATTAGTAGTTTTAGAAAACATTTTACCTAAGTACTTACCCAAAATATATAGGCTGGATTTAAGTTACTTATTAATTCGCTATTGTCCATGGAGAGATTTTAGAATTTTTCTTCTCTAAAATAGCAATCATTTTTCTTGATCACTGTAGGTACCAAGTATCAATCTTTACACTATTGAATTAACACATGGGGAATTTAAGTGGCAAGTTAAGAGGAAATTCAAACACTTTCAAGAATTTCACAGAGAGCTGCTCAAGTACAAAGCTTTTATCCGAATCCCCATTCCCACCAGAAGGTAACTGTTTCAGAATTAATTATAAAGTTATCCCAGTATACAAGTTGGGTGGAAAGAGTATTTTATCAGTGTTAATGGGTTAACGTGTCCCTTGTTAGTGGATATTTTCTATTAAATAGGCTTTTCTAAAAATAAGCCATTTTATGAAGGATATTACAAGAGTAATATTATTCAAAGAATAATCTAACAAATGTTTCCATTGCATGGGTGTCTTAGGCACACGTTTAGAAGACAGAATGTCAAAGAAGAGCCTCGAGAGATGCCAAGTTTTCCCCGTTCATCTGAAAACATGATCAGAGAAGAACAATTCTTTGGTAGAAGGGTAAGTCCTTCCAGTCTTCTGCTGTTCGGAATATAATTTTGCAGTTCTGTAGAAACATGGCGGCTTCTGAGGGGGGGCCTAGGTGCAACCGTTCTCACCCCGTGATCCCTCACCCAGGCTGGCTTCTGTGGAACTTGTCAAGCAGCCCTTCTTCCCCAAGCCATTCTGACCTGGGAGGTTGTATTTCCCACGAGAGGAGGAGTGTTCTATGAAGAAGCTGTCCTCCCAGCCGAAGCCTCTTTGGGCTTGTTGTGAGTCAAGATTGAGCTCATCATTGAGGGTTTTGAGATCTACCCTTTTAAAACCATATATTTCCATCTGTTTGTTCCAGGCTTTGTAGTAGCTTGTCCTAAATATATGTGAAGTCTCATTCGCGAGCCATTAGGGTCAGAGAGGGGTAGGACAGAAGCCCCAGGCGCAGGTGCTCCACCTCAGTGATATGGTGCCACACAGGGTGGGAGATTGTTTTTCCGCTAGAAAATTAACAAGTAAATGTCAGTTCTGTTTTGTAATCTGAAACTTTTATGTTCTGAAAGGGATATTTGATTTCTCCTTTGTATAGTTGTCATCTTGTTTAAAATCTTTAGGGGTCTAGAATAAATATTTTCCAAGATAACTGGATATATAAAACTCTACAGTTTGGGGTTTCTGTCTGCACTTTTATGAATGCAGTTGAAAATGAGAAGCTGTGGCTTTAACAGCACTTCTACACATCATCATAGTCGATATGATTGACATTACCTTCCCACATTTGAACATACTTGAAATCAGGGTACAACTTATCTAGAAAGTCTCTCTCTCTCTCCTTTTTTTAACCTCTCCCTTTTTTTTTTTTTTAACCCTGAACAGCTGTTAAAAAAACTATAATATATCCACCAGTAAATTCAGTGTTAGAATTAAGGCAATTCAGGTTTTTGATAAAGTCAACAAATGCCTTAAGACCATCTACAATGGGTAAATCCTGTGCTAGTAACTATGAAAGATTAAAGGAATATACAGCTTAGGTCTTGTCAGCAGTTTATAAAAGACCTAAACATATGAGAAGTTAAATAGCGAGAAGCAATTTGAATAATGGTTCAGGGGAACTATGGAAATAACTCCTTAATGCTATTCAAGATTCTTTGTCCAGTGATAATATGAATAAATAATTGAATAAGTTTGCAGAAATTAAAATGGGATAATGATCACATCACTGTCACTGTTATCTCTCATCTAATGTATTTGTGTTACAGAAACAACTGGAAGATTATTTGACAAGGCTACTAAAAATGCCCATGTATAGAAACTACCATGCGACAGTAAGTGCTGTTCAGTGACTTCAATTTTGAAATACTTTGTAAAATCATAAATTGTCAGCTAAACGTTGGCTCATTTTATTAACACAAGTGCTTTTATCCACTTCTGCAGTATTCCTGAAGTTAGAATTCATGAAATGAATGCCAAATTGATTTGACAGCAGTAATGTAGTTCATGGTGATGCTATTTAAAAAATATCAACTGTAAATTAATGTGTCTAGAACAGTAGATTTAGACGACCTTGGAACGCTGCTTCAGGCTAGGTTATCTAGACATCAACGTCCTTTTCTCCTCGGGCTTTCAGAATAATGCCTGAAAGTACTTCTAACCCTGAAGAGAAAACACTTGAACAGGAGGTCATGAAAACAGCTGAGCAGAGTTGAATACCCAAAGCTTATATGGAGCGTCCTGCTTGGTTGGCCATCTGATTGGTCTGTGATGCTTATAAAAGGCCTCTCTTTTCATGTGAAAGTGAGAAGCATGGGAAAAGCGAGGGGGCGAAAAAACTCCTGGGGAAATAAAAGAGGTGGTGGGGCTTAGAAGCAGCTAGGGGGTACACAGCTGGTGAGCAGGAGGGAGTGGACTTTTATAGAAGTTCTCAGAAAACGGTAACATCAGTCCCCTTAGAGGCCTTGAACAGGTGTTTTTAAAGGGTTAAACTTCAACTATCCAAAGGTCCAGATAACTGAGAATGTACTGGGTTATTGTATTTTTGCATCTGTGTATGTATAAACTGCACCGCTGTGGGGTTGAATGTATGTATATGGTATATGTGCAGAAATTAAGAGTAGGCAGTCATGGCCTACTAGATGTGGCCTCTAGTTTAGAGAATGGCATTACTTAATACTTAAAGAGAAAGAGGGAAGGGGCACCTGGGGAGCTCAGTCAGTTAAGCATCTGACTCTTGGTTTCTGCTCAGGTCATGATCTCAGGGTCCTGTGATCGAGCCCCACATGGGGCTCCGCGCTCAGCGCAGAGTCTGCTTGAGATTCTTTCCCCCTCCCTCTCCCTCCCCCTCTGCTCCTTTCCCGCCCCACATGCATGCGCTCGCACACGCTCTCTCTCTCTCTCAAATAAATACATAAATAAAATCTTAAAAAAGAAAAGAATGAAGGAAGCCCTCTGTGTATTTAGGAGAGGAAGCAAGAGCACCTTGACTCTTTGGAGTTTTCTGGTGACTCACTGCACTCTTGCTACCTGCCAGGGTGTTATTTGGAGGCTGGACAAGCATCCAGCCGGTCCCCTGGTCCCCACACACAAATGATCCGGGGCTGAGCCCATGGCCCAGCTTCTGCGGCAGTTTGCACTGTTCCGTTTGATGGACTTGAAGGAGCATATGTGGTTTCATAATCCTGGAGGAGTTTTCCCAGGGAAACCAGCAACTTGGGTCCAACCAGAGATCTCAAGAGAAGGATGATGGGAGGAATTTCTTCCCTTCTAGGCCTCAGGAACACGCATCTTTGAAAGAGTGTAACGAGTAAAGATGTTACTGCTATTATTTCCAATTATATAACTCCTATTGCTACGGCTAAAAATGCTGCTTCCTTTTGTGTTCTCTGAAGTGAAATGTGCTGTTTTCTTTAATAGAGAATTATTTAAATGTGTACTAGTACCAGTATGCAATGATTTTCCATTTGTTTTACTCTTCTTTTTTTTTTTATAAGATTTTTATTTATTTATTTGAGAGAGAGAGAGAGAGAGAGAGAGAAGAGAGGGAGAGTAGTAGGGAGAAGCAGACTCCCGCCGAGCAGGAAGCCCGACGCGGGGCTCGATCCCAGGACCCTGCGATCATGACCCGAGCCAAAAGCAGCCCCCATTTGTTTTACTCTTCTGCCTGCCTGTGACTTTACCGGTGCTATTTTTTTTGGCTTTAGAACAGTAATTGCTGAGTTTAGTCTTCTCTTTCTACGTATAGTACTACATTTTGGGTTCTAATGTTGATTAAAGAATGTGTACATTTTCTTAAATGTTTGTTTTAATTTATTTTCCAATCATAAAAATCTTTCCAGTAGAGCCATATTGTATCTAGAAATTCTAGAATGTCTTCTAAACATTTCCTCTGAAAGGGAAAGCGTGGTTACTGCTGACCCAAATATATGTTCCTCCACATTTTTGATGGCAACTTATTTACCCCAAGAATGGAATTCTCCAGAATGATTCAGACATAAGATACAATTTGATCTATCTTAATTTTCTAACATTATTGAACTTTCACGTAATGTAATCTGGTCTAGAGACTAGATTTACAGGCTTTTGCCTCATATTTGTGAAATTGGATTGGCATCTTTTTGTCTCCTTTGATAACTGTGAGAAATATTGAAACTCCAGTCTGTAAAATCATAGTAAAAGTTATTTTTATACAATCACATATAATTAATTTATATTTTTATAAGTGTAAAACAAGCCTGTTAGAAGTTAATTTGGGTCTTTACGGCAGAGATCATGGATCATGGGTCAAGCGATCAGATAGGATCATGTCTCTAATTTCCATAGAATTTCAATGAAACCAGACATGAACAGCTTTTCTTATTTTCCTATAGTCATTGGTTAGGTTGGTATTTAGATCAGGAATTTTTTTCTCCAAGAGAATGACTTTTTAATTCCTTTTCTCCTCCTTGAGGTTCTGAAAAACACGTCTTCGTGTTTTAGTGGATTTAACATCAGATAATTCCCTCAGGGATTATTGGTAATTCATTCTATTTTCTTTACTCATTTGTAAAATAGGGATAAATGGCTTTGCACTCTCCTCAAGGCATAAATATGTTTTTTAAAAACAGGAATATGTTTACTGAATTGTAACATACAAAATCTCAGAATTCCTTTTATATTCTAAATTGTATTAGTGCTAGCTCTAGTACTGAACCCACTCACTGAGCATTTTAATTAGCAACTGGAAAATGCTTAGCTTGCAGGGAATTTAAAGGAAGAGTCATTAGGAACAGTCATTGCACTTTTTTTTCCAGCTGAAGATTAAAATCTAGAAATGGAACAAAATGCATCATTTCCAGGAGAAGCATCCTAGGTTGATAAGAGTGTTGCTAACTTCCAGTAAATCATTTGACTGTTGTAACTCAGATTCCTTACCTCCAAGAGGGTAATTTCAACCTAATCACCCTCTGGGAAGTAAGGAAATCAGAAGATAAGCATCCCACAGACTAATAATGAGTTCACCCATCCCTAGTTTTATAAGGTGAGTGAATTTAGTTTGAGGGGAAGAGTAGGTAAAGATGAATGAGGATGCACACAGTGTTTCCATGCCAACAAAGAAAAGCTGTACTGTTAAAAAGCTGCATCTGCAAAGTAAGGGAAGTCGTGTCATTCTCATGATTGAATCTTAAGAGTTGGGAGAGTCCAGTCTCTCTGTTTCCTACATTGATGAGATGTCTTCTCTTTTCTCTGGGGCTGTGTTCACTATCTGACCTGGAAGGCAGGCTTTCCTGGAATAGGTGAGCCAACCTCCTACCTACCCCCCCCCACCAAAGGGCACTGCCCAACCCAATGCCCTTGTCTCCCTTGCTTCTGAGAATTTCCCCCTTGGGCACTTGCTTGGGAATTTTTTGCTACCTCAGGCATAAAGGGGGCCTCTGAACACCCCCCTTCCCTTCCAGTACAGAGATGAGGTAGAGGAACAGCATATGCATGATTGCCAGGTAATTTCCAGGGTTTGTTGTTACCTCTTGGGCTAATTGCTTGTCCCTTGTCATTGGAACTTTACTTCCTTCTTTGCCTAACATTTATTTGTACTTTGCACAAGTTCCTTTGGAAAAAAAAAATATATTGATTAATACATTATTCAAGAGATCAATAAACCCTGTGGAGTATTGTCCAGCTAAATTGATCATTAAATTCATGTTCTTGAGACTCACCTGGGCAAATAGAGAATAGAATTGTTATCATCACTAAGGATGCACTGAGAAGTCTGGACAACACAATCTTTGTTCAATTTCACATTGTGTTATTTGGGTTTGCTTCTAAATTGACCTTGCCACATTTACTTTTAATTTGATAAATCTGTATTACAGCATATATTGCCAGAGATTTTTTTTTTTTTTTGGTCCTATAACAGGGCTAGTTGTTTCTTGAAATCTCTCCCTAGTCAAACTAAAGTGATTAGGATAATTTTAAATTTTATACTGGTGCACAACTTTAGAATTTCTGCATTACTAATGTATTTTTTGTTTAGATGAAATTTTTTACCATTAGCAATTTTATTATGATATTCTGAAGTTATGGTTTCTGAATTATTTCAAAGAATACTTCTGCTGTCAACTCAATAAGCGCCATATGAATAAGAAACTATCCAGGTATTAGATAAATGGTTTCCTTGATTTTTGCTTTTCATTTCCTGTTCTTCCTTTTAACTGTTCGGTAGCTTTGCATATAGATTAGTTACACCTTTGTGGTAGTTTCTTCCAGGGTAAACTAGGATTGACGTTTTCTCTCTGCTCCCTAGAGATAAAATGAGAAGTTGTGGCTTAGGGTTTTAAAACATTTTGGATTCTGTTCTCAGAGTCTGCAGTGTCACTTCTAATAACTTAGGTGTTACTGTATTTTCCAATTAGAAGCATTTCCACAAATCAGATTTAAAAAATGTACTTATACAAGAAATGAAACGTAAAGACTTTATAAAATCTTTATAAAAATTTAATGTGAGGATATGTTTGATTTGGGGTTTTTAAGTCTTTCTGAAATTTTTTCTAAAGATTTTCTTTATTTGGAAGCGAGTAAGTGAGAGAGTGAGAGAGAGAGAGGAAGAGAGAGAGAAAAAACATGAACAAGGGAGGGGCAGAGGGAGAGGGAGAAGCAGACTTCCTGCTGAGCAGGGAGCCTGATGTGGGGCTTGATCCCAGGACCCCCGGGTTCATGACCCGAGCTGAAGGCAGACGCTTAATGGACTGAACCACCCAGGCGCCCCAAGTCTTTCTAAATTTAATTTTTAATTTTATTTTTTTTACTGTGTTCAGTCAGCATACAGTACATCGTAAGTTTTTGTTGTAGTGTTCAGCAGTTCATTAGTTGCGTATAACACCCAGTGCTCATCACAACATGTGCCCTCCTTAATACCCATCACCCGGTCACCCCATCCCCCTACCCCCTCCCTTCTATAACCCTCAGTTTGTTTCCTGGAGTCCAGAGTCTCTCATGATTTGTCTCCTTCTCTGATTTCTTCCCATTCAGTTTTCCCTCCCTTCCCCTGTGGTCCTCTGCTCTATTCCTTATGTTCCACATATGAGTGAAACCATATGATAATTGTCTTTCTCTGCTTGACTTATTTCACTTAGCATAATCCCCTCCAGTTCCATCCATGTTGATGCAAATGGTGGGTATTCATCCTTTCTGACGGCTGAGTAATATTCCATTGTATATATGGACCACATCTTCTTTATCCATTCGTCTGTTGATGGGCATCTCAGCTCCTTCCACAGTTTGGCTATTGTGACATTGCTGCTATGAACATTGGGGTGCATGTGTCCCTTCTTTTTACCTACATCTGTATCTTTGGAGTAAATACCTAGTAGTGCAATTACTGGGTCGTAGGAAAACAGTATGGAGGTTCCTCAAGACGTTAAAAATAAGTCCTTCTGAATTTTAAATACTTCTGCAAATAACCCTAAGAAAGAAATGGAAACATTTAATTGGGTAAGGACTGACAGCAGTGAGAGATTTATAATTTTTTGCTCACAAGGTTAATACTAGATTATTTCCAATCACATACACAAAACTTTAAAGGAAAACTGTTAGGTTTCATTTTATTAATCCCATATATAACCCTAGATCAAATGCCATTTCTTCTTAGGTGTCACATCAGCTTGGGAACCTTCCCTCTGTAACTACTTTGACATGTCATTGTTGTGGTTCTGCCCAGAGAACTTTGTTGATGTGGAGTATTTTCCGTGTCTGGTCTCCCCTCTGCTTCCTGATGCCAGGAGCATATCTTCTTGATTTTGAATTTTCTGTTGATGCTGTTATTGACATGGTGTACAACCATTGGTAGATCTGGGCTTACTGTGCCTACTTTTAAAGAAAATTCTGTAATTTGGGAGCAGAATAGTGTCTAACTCTAGCTGTTTCAAGTAACACATGAGGTAAAACTCCTGCATATGCTGAGAATTATGTAATGTCCATTGGTTTTCCCCTTTGTGCTTTCATGTTTTCATCTAACACTCATGGTGAATGATTTACTGCTTTTGCAGCTTTGTTTTGAGGATACTGTCTGGTCTGACCTAATTCTGAATCCCTTGCTAATTACATTATCTTGGACAATTTTTTAAAAAGATTTATTTATTTATTTTAGAGGAAAAAGTGCACGTGGGGGTGGAGGGGGCAGAGGGAGAGGGAGAGAGAGTCTTAAGCAAACTCTGTGCTGAGTGTGGAGCCCGACTTGGGGCTGGATCTCACGACCCTGAGATCACGACCTGAGCTGAAACCAAGAGTTAGATGTTTAACTGACTGTGGCACCCAGGTGCCTCTATCTTGGGCAATTTATTTAACTTCTCTGCACCAGGGGTTGGTAAACTGTGGCCCATGGACCAATCGAGCCCACTGCCTATTTTTCTATGGTCCATGAGCTAAGAATAGTTTTTACATTCTTAAATGTTTGAAAAAGTCTTAAAAAATAATAATATTTCATGACATAAAAATTATATTGAATTTGTATTTTAGTATGCATAAATTAAGTTTTAATGGAATACAGCCATGCTTGTTCATTTATGTATTGTCCAAGGCTGCTTTTATGCTATAATAGTAAAAGTATGCAATTCACAAAGCCTAAAATTTTTTTTTTAAAGATTTTATTTATTTATTTGACAGAGAGAAATAGCAAGAGCAGGAACACAAGTGCGGCAGTGGGTGAGGGAGAAGCAGGCTTCCCGCTGAGCAGGGAGCCTGATGTGGGGCTCGATCCCAGAACCCTGGGATCATGACCTGAGCCGAAGCCAGACGCTTAATGACTGAGCCACCCAGGCGCCCCCAAAGCCTAAAATTTTTATGTCTGACTCTTTGCAGAGAAAGTTTGCTTATCTCTGCTCTAAGCCTCGTTTCCTCTTCTGTACAATGAGAAAAATAGCACCTATTTCAGAGAGATTTGAGATAATGTGTGAAAAATGCTTAGTACAGGGCCAACAGATAGATATTAAGCACTCAGTAAAGATTAGCTGTTGATGTCATCATAATATTTGTAGTTTTTATCTTCCCTTAATTTGTATGGTATGGGTGGGCCTGAAATTCTCTTCCTTTTCTACTCACTAAAAATAGAATTATTTTTATATTATTCTTATGTAAAATGATTTTATTTCTTTTTTTTAGAGTGTGGGGTAGGGGGGAGGGTCAGAGGGAGAAGGAGAGAGAGAGTCTCTAGCAGACTCCCCACTGAGCATGAGCCTGATTCAGGGCTTGATCTCACAACCCTGAGATCATAACCTGAGGCAAAATCAAAGAGTTGGACAGTCAACCAACTGAGCTACCCAGGTGCCCCTGATTTTATTTCGTTTGTATGAAAATATTCTGGTATTCCTGATGTTCAGAGATCTCCCCAAACTCCCTTCAACCCACTCTACCATTTAATTTTACATTACTCTCTTATCTTACTCATTGTAGCCCAACTGTCCATCCAATGCCCTTTTTACACCTTCCCTGTCCTCTCTCCCCCTTCATCTTCCATTTCCACATGACAAGTCTAGTCCACCTTCCAGAACCAGGCACCAACATCACTGCCTTCACACAACACTATTTGTGCATACACTATGCCACACAATCCTCCTTCCCCAACAACAAAAACACAGAAGAATTTTGGGAGTGAAACCTCTCTTTGTGACTTTCTTGAGCATTCATTCTCTACATTTGAGAGCACACATCACTTTCTTGGTTGTGTCTTAATTATGTATACACTTCTAATCTCTTCTTTCAGGGCAATGCCATTGTTTTGGTCTGTGTAGTCCCCCAGATTGTGTTGACACATAGCGGTATCTAATGCCTGTTTTTTTCTTTTTCTTTCAAATGTCTAAATTTATCTTTTTTCTTTCTGTGTTTCTAAAGTATGGATTTTTGGCTTCTTTTCAGACAGAGTTCCTTGGCATAAGCCAGCTGTCTTTCATCCATGATTTGGGACCAAAGGGCATGTAAGTTCCAGTGTTGCATGTTAAAGAGAAGTGTGAAAGTTGATAAGCATCACCATTTGATTTACCAGCATGCCATGGTGACAGAGCTTACCTGACTTTACTACCTGTTCCTTTTATTCCCGACAGAGTCAGAGCCACTTGGGGAATCTGTTTATACACGGTGCTACCTTGCTGTATTGAACAAGGGTAGCAACTACCTCACCCTCTTTCTTTATGTGCTTACAGCACAGATTTCCTCTGGCCCAACATTAGGAATGTTTAATACAGGTAGCAAATATGGTATGTGGGAGAAAGCATTAGAAATAAATATACTGTGTTGTATATTTGAAAGTCACTAAAGGAACCGCTCTCAACAGTTCTCATCACCAGAAAAAATTTATAACTATGTATGGTGATGGATGTTCACTAGACTTATTGGGGTGATCATTTTGCAATATATACAGATATCAAATTAATGTGTTATACACCTGAAACTAGTATATGTTGTCTGTCAATTATATCTCAGTTTAAAAAATCAAATATACCAAATCCCTTCTTTAAATAACTTAAAAAAGTTAGCTGTTTATCACTCATTTTCATGATTAAAAATAACACTGTGTAAAATTTATGTTAGGTTACAAGTTGAAATTTACTTAATGATTATTTTCCTTCATAATGTGAGAGCATAATGTTATCAGGAGCTTAGCTTCTTTAGAGCTAAGAGCATTGTTAGTAGGGGTTTTAATTTTTTTCTTTTATTAAGCCATTAGTATTGTTATTTCTTGTCCTATCTTTCAAAATCAAGACATTTCTCTTTCCAAAGCTCTAATAGCTGTGCTCTGTTCCTTTGGTATGGCGTGGTCCTAGAAGTGTAGGTAAAAGGATGAGGAGTATTTGGGAACCTGTGGGCTCAGGTTTTCTGGTGATGAGAACTGTTAAGAGCGGTTCTCTTAGCGACTTTCAAATATTTGGGAACCAATGGTCTCAACAGCAGCTAAAACGTCCCTGTGCAGGCCTTTGGCAATTGTGGGGTCTTTTTCAGCTTGTCACAATGACTGGAGGGCACAGTCAGCATATGGAGCCAGAAGCCAGACTGCTTAAGGTCCTGTAGTGTGTGCAAGAGAATTTTGCTGCCTCCAATCCGACCAGGTGCTTTTAGAATTCAGCTGCTAGAGTATCCAGCCTAGTGAAGGTCACATTGAGCTATCTGAGGGTGAAGAAGGAAGGAGAGGAAAGTGATGTGCGAATGAAACAGTTTATTTAGTCCGAAGTCGTGAGGCTATATCAGCAAAGTGCGAGTTGGAAATTTGAAGATGCTGGGTTAACTTGATTTCTCTTTCAGAGAAGGTATGATAATGAAAAGATCTGGCGGACACAGAATACCAGGTTTGAATTGCTGTGGTCAGGGAAGAGCCTGCTACCGCTGGTCAAAAAGGTAGGTCTTAGGAGCTTTGTGTGTTTGTTTTAATAAACTGGATATTTGGGGAATTTTCACATACTAGTTTTCAATTATGAATCGGTTATATATCCTTTGAAAGTCATGGCAGAGCAAACTTTAAATTATTTATTTATTTATTTATTTTTTAAAGATTTTATTTATTTATTTGAGAGAGAGAGAGAATGAGAGATAGAAAGCACGAGAGGGAAGAGGGTCAGAGGGAGAAGCAGACTCCCTGCTGAGCAGGAAGCCCGATGTGGGACTCGATCCCGGGACTCCAGGATCATGACCTGAGCCGAAGGCAGTCGCTTAACCAACTGAGCCACCCAGGCGCCCAAACTTTAAATTATTTTAAGTTCCAGGTTTCAGCCTCCATGTCAACATTCTAACTCAAACCTGGACTTGTAGGCAGAGTGTGCAAATTTTATTATATACATAAAAACCCGGTGGGCAATAGACCTCAAACTTTGGTCAGCCAAAGAACATATACAAATGGCCAATAAGTACAAGTAGATATCTCAACATCACTAGTCATAAGGGGAATACAACTCAAAACCATAGTGGGGTCCAACTTCACACCCACTAGGATGGCCATCATGAAAAAGATACACAATAGCAAGTGTTGTTGACAAAGGATGTAGAGAAATTGGAACACTCCTACATTGCTGGTAGAAATAGAAAATGGTACAGCCACTCTAGAAAACAGTGCAGCAGTTCCTCAAAACATAGGAAGTGGGATTACCGGGGCATACGGTAACTTTAGGTATTTACCCAAAAGAGTTAAAAAAATGTGTCTGTATCAAAACTTGTAGAAGAATCTTCATAGCATTATTCAGAATAGGCAAAAGGTGTGAGCCACCCAGATGTCCATCACCTGATGAATGATTAAACAAAATGTGGTCTATCTCTACAGTGGAATATTATTTGGCCATAAAAAAGAATGAAGATTAATGGATATGGGGTTTCTTTCTGGTTTGATGAAGATACATGGTTGTATAACTTTTTGAATATATTACAAACCACTGAACTATATACTTTTAAAGAATGAGTTTTACAGCATGTGAATAAAATGTTTAGAAATTTTTAATGAAAAAAAAGAATGAAGTGCTAATTCATGCTATATCCTGAATGAATCTCAAAAACATCATGCTAAGTGAAAAAAGCCAGTATTATATGATTCCATTCATATGAAATGTCCAGAATAGATAAATCTATAGAGACAGAGTAGATGAGTGATCTCCGGGGGCTGGGAGGAAAGGAGAATGGGAAGTGACTGCTAGTGGATATGGGGTTTCTTTTGGGTGGTGACAATATTCTGAATTAGATATTAGTGGTGATGGTACACAACTTTACAAATATACTAAAAAACCACTGAACTGTATACTTAAAAAATAAACTAAAAAAAAAAGAAAAATTGGCCAGACTTCAGGGATGATAATTTTAAACTTACATTTGTGAGGATGTATATTGTGTTGTGTGATATAGACAGAGAACTTTAATTCATATCCTGTGTCCTACACAACCAAAGACTCCTGTGGATCGGTATTCTCATCTGATTTTTATTTGTGTCCTCAAAGCACTTATCACAGCGTTTTGAATATAAGAGACAATAGTTGTTTGTTAATAATAATACTTTACTGGGATTTTGGAAAAAATACTAAGAAGTATATATTTCCCCAACCTTGAAAAAGTTCTATGAGCTCATGTGTACATATGAGATTGAGCTAAGTGTATATTAAAAATATATAAGCTCTGAACTAAGATTTACCTTTAAACATATTTAAGGTACACTACCAGCTAAAAACACCATTAAGTCAGGCTCTTATTATCTCAAAGGTTTTGAAAGGATGGAAGAAATTACAGGGAAAAGATGAAGAGATTAGAGGAAATTGAAAATTTCTGTGTTCCAGTAAAACAGTTTTACTAAAATAAAAAAGGAAGTATTATACTAGAAAATATGTGTTTTCAAATAAACTTCTGTAACTTACATAAGCACACAGTAGGGCCCTGGTGCAGATTCCTCCTGAGCAACCCCGCCCTGCCCCGCATCGGCTTTAGCTAAGGTAGCTAGCTGCTGGGAGCCAGTCAGGAAGTTTCAAAAGGCAAACACTTACGAGTCTTTGAGTGTAGACACTCTGGGCAATTAGGGTCCGCTTGCATGCGTGCAGAGCAGACTGGAAACGTTCACAGCCCCCAGGAGCAGCCCTTAGCCAAGAGCTGGCAGGCATCCTGCCCTGGCAGCCCTCTGGTGGGGTGATTCTGCCAGAAGCTCTGCACTGTCTCCAGAGTCCCAACTGCCCACAATAAAGGACATGCAAACACAACACATCCTCACTGGCTCCTTTCGTCCTCCTCCTCCTTCCCTGCCAGGGCTCCTAATAACTCCCTAATATGCCCCTTTATGAATGACTTTTACTTACCTCCTTGTCTCAGAGTAGACTTGTGGGCCAACCAACCTGAGCCATCGACTCAAGAAATGGAAGCCTTGGTCTGGTCCATGCAGTCATTTATTGAGTGCCTAATGTTTGCCAGGTTGTGTGCTAGCTCCTGTAAAAACCAGACAAAGTCTCTGCCCTCAGGCTTTACTAGAGGAGAAAGGAAGACAGTGACGAAGCTGACAAGCAGTGTGAATGGTGTCCGTGCAGCTGTGACCGGAAGGCAGTGGGATGGTGAGGGACTTGAGGAACCGGGGCCGGGGCAGGGGGTGGTGGGTGACTTTAGCTCCTGGTGTCAGGAAACTGTTGTTGGAGTTAAAACCTCCATGAGAAGGGGCAGCCAGAAAAGATGGGGGCCAGACTTGGTTTTATAAAATAACCTAGCTCCCTCGCATCTTAAACTTGGGATTAAATCAGGCTTCAACCAGGACAATCTAAAGAGATATGATCCTCCCTGGAATGAAATGTGTCATCGTTTTAAATTGTGTAGATCTTTCCATGAAGATTGAAGCTTTGGTTCCCCATTAGTAGGTATTTCCTGAGTTACATTTGTGGGTGATAAAGTATCAGTACCAAATAAAATGAGAAGATACAGCTGACAAAATTAGTTTAGAAATTTTCTCATGGTAGAAGCTATTAGTATCTAAATAGGAGTCACTTTTAAGGATGACACATTTATAACTCTCCCTTTTTTATTTTTGTACCCATATAAAGCATTCTGATCACTTTCTCATTTATGCTGCATTGACAAATCAAGATAAAGCAAATGGGGCAATTAAACTTTCAATCAAGTGTCATGATGACCTTGTCTCAGGGACAAGTAAAAGGAAAAAAAAAAGACAAACATGGCAAATATTTTTTCCCACAATTTAAAACATCTGCTTAAACTGCCTATCTGTTGAGCAACTTCTCTGCATTGGGTGGTGGACTAGATAAGTTTCTTACCTCAAATAAGGTCTGAGGGGAAGGAGATACATAAATTTTAAGAAATAAATGTAGCATTTATTTTGCTGAACTTTGAGCTATACCAGGAATTCTACAGACAGTGAACAAGCAGACAGATAATTCCAGCGAAGTGTCATGAGGAAGCGAAACATGCTGGAACGGTGGGGTGGGGGTGGGGCTGGCTTTTTAAGATTGAGTAGCCTGGGAAGGCCTCCCTGGGGAGGAGTGTCTTAGCAGAGAGATAATAAACAGGAAAGGACCGTCCCTGGGAGGATCTGGAAGAAGTCATTTCTAGGTAGAGGAATAGCACAGGTAGGAGCCCAGAGAACAACCTGGGCAAATCTGAGGAACAGCCAGACCTTGGGGGTGGGAGAGAACAGGGGGACGTGAGGCTGAGAAGACCAGCTCTGGTGGTGTGTCTGCATTTTAGTGCCATGGCAAGGAGTGGCCCCGGGCAGGAGGCATCTTGTTCGAATGGACTATGATCTCACCTACTTGAGAACAAGAGTGTTTGTAAAACTGCCTAGTTATTGGTGTGAGGCGTGGTGCTGAGCAATGTATGTGAATCATCTCCGTTATTTAGCACAAACACGGATGAGCTGGGCATCGCTGTTGCCCTCATTTTATGGATGGAATCCTCAGGCTCAGTTACCCAAGTTCACACAGTCGGGTGGGTGGCTGAGCTGGAATCGGAGCCCAGGGAGGATGACTGGGTAGTTAGGCGCTTACTCCCTGTGCAGCTAGCGCTGACTTCCAGAAGACGGGTTGACCAATTCCTTTCTTGATGCATATCCTCTCCTTAAAGGAAAAAAAAAAAAAAATCTGCTGACAAAAGAGAGAAAGGAAAAAAATCAGAAGAGTTTTAATGAATGGCATAATTAAGAAGAGCTTTATATAAAGGCCAGGAGTCAATTTACCCTGATATCTAATGACTATTAAAAAGAATTCATGACCAAAACAAAAATTATTATCTTTGGCATTCAGCTTTCAAAATCCAGCTACCATCCAGCTTGGGTGGCTCCATCGGTTAAGCGTCTGATCGTTAATCTCAGCTCAGGTCTTGATCTCAGCTCAGGTCTTGATCTCAGGGTCATGAGTTCAAGCCCCATGTTGGACAACACACTGGGCATGGACTCTCTTTAAAAAAAAAAAAAATCCAGCTGTTACTACTAAACTCTTCTGTAATTCCAGGTTGCCCCATCTTGGAGGGGCAAGGGAGGAATGCACATGGGGAGACCACATGAATGGCACCCCCAGTGCTGACCAGTGCTCTCCCCAGAGTACACCCAGCCATCCCCTTGCCATTGCTGAACAAGGCTGTTGATAGCCTATACAGAGCCTCTGTGCCAATTAGAGAAATGTACCCATTTCTGCAGGATGACACAGCCAACATCACAGCCCCCTGCACCAGATGTCCTAGGGTAGGGCCTATCTGCACAATGGTACCTTGTGGCCTGTCCCTAAGGCCATGTTTTGCAGTCTTTGTCCTGGTGGTTGTGCCACCAGCCTCTGCTCTCAGAAACATTTCTGAGACTTGTTCTGTAATACCAGTCCTGGGAGCTGGTACACACGGATAGGGGTCGCCCCACCGTCATCCCGCACCGGCGTCCCCGGTGTGGCACTCTGGTGAGAGCTGGCTCTGCTGCCATTGGGGTGTGCCTGACTTCGAGCACACGTTCACGAGTCTGCTATGTTTGACTTTCTTCTCAGATTGGCAAGCCCCATCTGTGGTTTTCAAAGCCTCTGGCTCCTTCCCAGCCAGCAGGATAGCACGGCAGCGCTCTGGGCCTGTGCCATGCTGTGTGCCTGCTGACTTGTCCCGCAGGTGCAGCCGGGGGAAGGGACTGCGGCTAAAGAAGGAACTTGAGCAGACATGTGATCCATCCCACGCTCTTTTATCCTGACCTGAGGTTTATCGATAGGCAGCTTCTTGTCTGCACTCATAACTCAGGCCTTCTGAACCGCTGAGTCCTCGTTTATATCATGGCTCGGGCATTTACACTGAGCGGTGTTAGGAGAATTCTTACAAAATGCAGAATTCCTGCATTTGCTGACAATTATTGACAGTGTTATCCATTATACTACTCAGTTGCCTGCTGTTAGGTCCCCAATGAGAAACTTCCTTTGGAGTTTAATTTTTTGGGGGGGATACCTTTTTATTTCTGTAATTTATTCACTGGGTAAGAAAAACCAGGAACCTCAGACGCGCAATGGCAGGCCATCACCATAATTATGTTAATGTTGTGGTTCGGTATTTGCTTTCTGGAGGTCACATTTGTGACCTTAATGTTTTTCCTTTTGTTAACCATGTCACATGTAGGTCCTTCACTGTTAGTTATCCTAAATCCATCCCATCCCCTTTTTTTGAGAAGAAGCCAGCCTATATGTTAAGAAACAAATGAGTGAAATGAAACTAGGTGGAAACCAACATAGATTTGTGTGTGTTAAATCCCGAACTCTAAAGCCACTAAATCGTAATGTGGTTAGCAATTTCAGTAACAATTTATTATAGATTTTTTTTTTAGATGCTGACTTCCCATGTCACATTTACAATGTTACTTATGTTCAGGTGTTCTGGCCTTTCCTGTTCTATAATGTGCTTTACTTTGTCTGATATTTGATACAGTATGCCCACTGTTATTTTATTGTTACGGACTGACTTATTTGATTACTACACAACCGTAAGTAAATGTGATTATATGGTGTTATAGTCAGCATGACACAGTTGGCATTTGCATTCATTTTAAATCAATCCCATATGGTCTTGCTCTTCTCCCTGTCATTGTTCTGCCTGTCCTCTACATCCTTACTCAAATGTCATCCGAGCATGGGCATCACCCGTGAACTTGTTAGCAATGCAAAATCTCAGGCCCTGCCACAGACCTACTGAATCAGAATCTGCATTTTATTTTTATTTTATTTTATTACTATTATTTTTCATTGAAGTATAGTTGGCATATAATATTATATTAGTTTCAGATGTACACCATTGTAATTCAACATTCATATACATCATTGAATGCTCACGACGATACATAGAGTTACCATCTGTCACCGTGCTAAGTTATTAAAATATCATTGACTATATTCCGTGTGCTGGACTTTGCATCCGTCTGACTTACTATTTTACAACTGGACATTTGTACCTCTTAATCACCCTGTTTGCCTGTCCTTCCACCCATCCCTGCTTTGGTAACCAATAATTTGTTGCCTGTATTTATGAGTCTAGTTCTGTTTTGCTTTGTTTGGTTGGTTGGTTTTTGTTTTTAGATTCCACATATAAGTGAAATCATATGGCATTTGTCTTTTCCTGTTTGACTTCTGTCGCTTAGCATCATACCCTCTCTAGGTCCATCCACGTTCTTGCAAATGGCAAGATCTTTTTTTAATGGCTAATATTCCACCACATTTTCTTTATACATTAATCAATAAGTTACTTCCATATCTCAGCTATTGTAAATAATGTTGCAGTAAATGTAGGGGTGCATACATCTTTTTGAGTTAATGTGTTTGTTTTCTTGAGGTAAATATTCCAAAAGGGGAAATGCTGGATCATTTGGTATTTCTATTTTTATTTTTTGGAGGAACCTCCATACTGTTGTCCATAGTGGCTGTACCAATTTACATTCCCATCAAAGGGCACCAGGGTTCCCTTTTCTCCACATCCTCACCAACACTTGTTATTTCTTGTCCTTTTGATACCGCACCGAATCTGCATGTCAACAGGGTACCCCTGTGAGGCATATTCACAGTAAAGTATAAGAAGAGTTGTTCTGTATTATTGTAATAGCTTGCTAACCTGCCACATTACATCCCTCTTTATCCTTCATACCTTTCTTTCTAGAACACAATTACAATGATATTCTCATCCCCTTCCTTGCCGAGGCATGAGGATTCTCTTATTTAATAAGCATCCTGGTGTTTTTGTTAAAAACACAGATTGTTAGGCCTTTTTAATGGATCCGTGGTGGGGCCTGGGAAACTCTTATTTATTTATTTATTTTTTTGGAAACTCTTATTTTTTAAACAAGCATCTCAAGAGCTTCTGATGGCAAAGCAAGTTCAGGAAACCCTGGTTCCATGCTATGAAATCAGCCTCCTGAGCATAGTCTTTAGATCCTCCTCAGTGTGGCCTTTGCCCATTTTCCCCATGCGATACTCATTTGCCCATTTTTCCTTACTATATTCCCTGAGACTCTGGCCTCACCAGACTTTCTCCCAACACATGCAGCATTTCCACACCTCCGTGCCTTTGCCTACTCTTCCCTCCATGTGGGATGTATGCCTTGGCCACCCTGCTTTGGGTTTTATTTGATTGATAGGATCCTTGCTGGCCTTGCTCAGATACCACCTCTTTGGGACAGTGCCTCTACGTCTTTCTCTTAGTCAGAACTAAGGACTCCCCCCTCCTTATACCCATTACCTTTACAGTTTCTAGTATCTTCTTTGTGCCCCACTAGTCTAATAAACAACTTGGAGAACATGTCTCATTTACCTCTGTGCTGTTTCTTTAAAAAAAAAAAAAAGATTTTATTTATTTATTTGACACAGAGAGAGAGAGAGAGCATAAGCAGGGGGAGTGGCAGGCAGAGGCAGAGGGAGAAGCAGGCTCCCCACAGAGCAGGGGGAGCTCGATGTGGACTTGATCCCAGGACCCCGGGATCATGACCTGAGCTGAAGGCAGTCGCTTAACCAACTGAGCCACCCAGGTGCCCCCTTTGTGCTGTTCCTACCTGTTGAATACTTACATGCTTCTGAGAGATCATGTCCTACTGAGCATCGTTTATTAATAGTCCTTAAAACCACAAGTAATTTGAAAAGTAAATTGAAAAACAGAATATGTGGAGTATTAGATGCTTACTGTTTTTTTTTTAAGATTTTATTTATTTATTTGACAGATGGAGCACAAGCAGGGGGAGTGGGAGAGGGAGAAGCAGGGAGCCCGATGCAGGGCTCAATCCCAGGACCCCCAGATCATGACCTGAGCCAAAGGCAGACGCTTACTGACTGAGCCACCCCGGCGCCCTACTAGGTTGTTTTAAAGGAGGATTTTTACTTCCCAAGAAACTTATTTGCCTCTTTTATGACAGTTTATTTTAGCAAACATTTTTCCAATGGATTTCCATTTTTCCAACGGCTGAGGCTCCTGCTGTACATCCTGCAAGCGCTACGTGCCCATATCAGGGACATTCTTTCAGGCTTTGCCATTAGTGTGTAAAAAACTAATGAAATCCTTTGAATTGCTTGGTGCCAGTTCTTCTTAGAAAAACATAATAGACTTATTATTAGTTTTTTGTTATTGCTGTTGTATAGTGATTTTTAAAAAACAAATCCCCTGTGTAAAAAATGAAATATCTGCAGCCTGCTAGAGTGTTTACTTAACTTGTCATAACTTGTTCTTTTTGTTTCAATGATCCAATGCAACTCTAAAAATATTTATTACCTTCTTACAGGTGGTTGATAGTGAAAGATTCATTTTTACTATATATGAAACCAGACAGTGGTGCCATTGCCTTTGTCCTGCTAGTAGATAAAGAATTCAAAATTAAGGTGGGGAAGAAGGAGACAGAGACAAAATATGGGCTCCGAATTGATAATCTTTCAAGGTAGAAATTTCAAGTATTTTTAAAAGATTTCTCTCAAAAACAAAGTTTTTCTCCCAACCTTGAGTGAAGAAGGAAGTTAAATAATTTAAATGTTAGAAAATTGTTATTTAGAACTCCTCTTAATCAAAAATAATGAAACTACTTTTCTTTCTATATATTTTTAAGTATAAAATATCCAGTGTGCAACAGTCAGAATAAATAATCTCATGTGTTGATTTATGCTTGTTTTAACAAAATGTATGCCTATTACAAAATTACTCAGTAATACCGATTTACCGAACAGATAAATTAAGGAATGATAGTTTCATATTTTTAAAAAATAAAATTTTGCTTTATAAATGGATATCCTTTAATTAACAGGAACACATAAACAGTGATTTGATTTACAAAAATTCTGTTTACACACAGATTTTAAGAAAGAAATCTTGAAAGGATACTCAAGTGTACATTTACTATAGATTTTATTAGCGAGTGTGTGTGTGTTAATAAATGTTTCTTTCTGGAAGATGGTAGTTATGTAATATGTTTATGTTTTTTCTCTGTATATACATTGGTTCTACAAAGTTCAGCCTCATGTATACAAATATACATTTTTTTCTTTTCACACATTGACTAATGTATATATTATAAATATATATATATTTATACAGACACACACACACGCACCCTAATACACATTGGCATGTGTTGTGTGTGTGTGTGTATGTATTTGTATAAAAAGATGCTGAACTTCCTGATCTCTGACAGTAGGAGGTTTAAGATTATCTCCCTCACAGCCTAGTACAGTTCTAGTCATAGTAAGTAACTTTATGCATGTTAGCATGAATGAATGAGTAAATAACCTGAAAATTTATTTTTGCTATATTGAATATAGTTTTAAATCCTGCCTAAAATGTTCAGAAGTCTGCTTTTTTGATATAAATAAGATGCTCCTTGCTTAAAATTTTCAACCTATGTTTGCTGCAATACCAAAACAAAATGGCGCATGTTTAATTGTTAAATATTTTTAAAGAGACTGAACACAGAGTGATCATTCTTTTCCACACTTGGCTTTTCTTTGAAGGACACTTATTTTAAAATGCAACAGCTATAGGCATGCTCGGTGGTGGGGAGGGGCTATAGAAGAATTCATCCAGAAACACGGCACCAACTTTCTCAAAGACCATCGATTTGGGTCATATGCTGCTATCCAAGAGAATACTTTAGCTAAATGGTAAGATCGTTTTACTCTAAGACTATTTTTTATAGTCATAGTATCTAATATTATAGCAGGCCTAAGTTCATCTGGAATCAATTTTCAAAGCTGTGGAAACATATTCTGCATTATACTCGACAGAGCCTTTCTTTATAGGACTACCTGAGCATAGATTAGTTTTCCAACTTTTGTATTTAAGATTTTCACAGTGAGGATTCAATAGCTAGCTTTAGATCTTGAAGTTTGATTTTAAAAGCTAACTTTTCAATTTTTTAAGGATGCAAATGGAATGTTTATTTAAGTTATTAGCTATAATTTAAGAATGAGAATTTACTTGTTAGGTATTTCTTTTAAATAAAATGCTTTGCATGTTTTCGTACCCATGGACTGGAAACTGGTCTGTTTTCAGTCTCAGACAAACAACGGTGTGAATTCAGCAGGATGAGAGAATTCATCTGACTCATGTGATGATGAGACCAGTTTGTTGTTCTCTCAGCGAATCCGGTCGCTTACTTCTGTCTCCTTACTATACTTCCTGCATAGCAGACGGAAGATGGGATTTTCAATCCTTGGTCTTCAGTTATACAAAGTAAACTGGTGGCTTTGTAGAGACTCAGGCAGTGCTTTTATCTTTTTGCCATAAGATATGTTTCCTTTCTTTCTTTTCATTAAAAAAAAATTGAAACAAAAAACTTGTCTTCCAGGTACGTTAATGCCAAAGGGTATTTTGAAGATGTGGCAAATGCTATGGAGGAGGCGGAAGAAGAGATTTTTATCACAGACTGGTGGTTAGTATTTATCCATGGGGATTTTTGTTGGAGGTCTCTGCAATTAGACATGTAAAACAGTGTTGCGCTGTTCCAGAATTGTATATTATGAAAATCAGCAGTACCCATAGATGGTTTGGCCAAAGTCTCAACCAATTAACTATAATAGCCTTCAGTGAAAAGTCTTTTCAAAAAACTTGAACTCCAAATATATCCTTAAAATATTTAGATTAAACAATTTTGTTTTTGTCTTTCTTTCTTCCTCCCCCTTTCTTTCTTTCTTTCTTTCTTTCTTTCCTTTCTTTCCTTTTTCTTTTCTTTCTTTCTCCTTTTCTTTCTTTCTTAGATGTTATTTATTTATTTGTCTGAGGGAGAGAGCGCACAAGCAGGGGGAGCTGCAGGCAGAGGGAGAAGCAGGCTCCCCGCTGAGCAAGGAGCCAATGTGGGGCTCAATCCCAGGACCCTGGGATCATGACCTGAGCCAAGGCAGACGCTTAACCAACTGAGCCACCTAGGCGTCCCTATTTTTGTCTTTCCATTTGGAAATAGACACCCAAATATTCATCTTAATAAAGATTATTTTGCAATGCAAATACAGTTTTAGAAGTGATAGAAAATAATCTTCCTTGGGTGCCTTCTTCATTTGGTATTTTAGTCCCCAGGTCCAGAGACTATACTTCTGAATTGTCCCTTTGAAGCTGGAATAGTTCCGTTTGTTACAGAATGACTAGGCCTGGCCAACCTTTTGGAAATATATCACATTTCAACTTTTTGACCCCCTTTACAAATATCCATGAGAATTACAATGCTTATCAGAGCCACTGGAAATCTCATACTCAGAACTCATTTAGCTCTTGGGAAATTGTACTCTTGGAGTTGGTGTAGGCTTTAAAGTTTGATGTTAGTTCCAATTACCATCTGCCTGGACAGTTAAAACCAGTTGCAGATGCCAAAATTGACTACAGTGGAAATGAACATGTCTAAAATGTGTTTTCCTTCTAAGAATGTAGTTGCTGAAATGCTCCTTATTTTTCCCTTTCTTCTTTCCTTTCAAATGCTATCTTACATATAAACTTTGACAGTATCATCATAATTTATTTCCTCCTGATTCTCTATTTTGGGGAGAGGGGAGAGTAATTAGGAATATGAACTCATCCTCTTCTACTTTTTGCCTCAGTAATATGGAAGTCTGTAATTCTAGAGCATGCTTTCCCAACCTTGGCACTATTGACATTTTGAGCCAGATAATTCTTTTTTTTTTTTTTTTTGAAGATTTTATATAGTTATTTGAGAGAGAGCGAGCAAGAGAGAGAACACACAGATAGGGAGAGGGAGAAGCAGGCTTCCTGCTGAGCGGGGAGCCCGATGTGGGAGTTGATCCCAGGACCTGATCATGACCTGAGCTGAAGGCAGACGCTTAACCGACTGAGCCACCCAAGTGCCCCTGAGCCAGGTAATTCTTTGTTATGGGAGGTTGTTCTGTGCATTGTGGGATGTTTAGCACCATCAGCATGTCTGGCTTTCGCCTACGAGATGCCAGTAGCAAACTCCTGGTTGTGATAGTGTCTTCAGACATTGCCAAATGTCCCCTGGAGGGTAGAGTTCTCTTGGTTGAGAATCGTTGATCTAGGGTCGATAGACAGGGTGTGTGATGGTCAGCATGTCTGTGAGCCTGTTTATTCTCATGTGCGTGGAGGAGCTAAATCTTGGCCTTTATTGTCACATTTTGTCTCTTCACTCAGTTACCAGGAATAAAAATAAATTTCATACTTAGGAGCTGTTTCTTTGGTTGAATACTTTATAAACACTTATGAGAATAAATTCAAGCTTAATGTAGTACTATATTCCTTTAGATAATATTTCTGAAAGTTTGATGAAGACGAGAGAGACTGAAGATAGTTTTTCCATTGAGCCCATATTTTCATGTTTTCAAGAAAATAATATCTCTTTTGAAGGTTCTGAACACTAAAATACAGGCTCCCATTTAAACATCTAAAGAGATGGAACCCTGATTATTTTGTGCTGTTGGAAAGAAAATAAACCAGGTTATTTCTTTTCTATGACTGTCTAGGGTAACATCTTATTACGACACTCCCTTTGAAATAAAGTCTTCATTGTAACTTCCCTCATAACAGATGAAGAAAATTCTTGCCATGCAAGTATATTACAAAAGAGAGCATTCAGAAACTTAACCAATACTGGTATGTCTAGTATTGGTATACTGAGAGAGTGAAAAGCATAGTTAGAAGATGCACTTGTCCTTTAGAAGCTTCTACTCTAATTCAAGAGATATCATATGCTTCAGTGAAAACTGTACTGATAAGTTTATAAAATAATTAGTGTGCAAACAGAGGTGGATGTAGTGAAATGAGAAACAACTTGGAACCTTCTAGTTCGTTCATTCATTTAACCACCCATCCATTCACTTGTTAATTTAGTCATTCCAGAGCTATTTAGTGAGCACCCACCCTGTGACAGGTGCTGAACTAGGCCATGTGTATATGAAGATGATTGAGAAGCAGCCCCTTCTCTAGAACAAGAGAGAGTCAGGAAGTCATATGGAAAACCACCGATTGGGGAAAAGTGAGTGATGAGAGGATTAAGACAGCAGAAGGCTGTAAAGAAGGAGGAGCCCTGAGGCGGGGCAATGCCTGAGCCTACGGGAGCTGTGGAAGCTTCATGGAAGAGAAAGCCTTCTCTGGGGCTTTGTGATGGAGTTGACCAGATGAAGACAGGTGAATGTTTTCAGCAGAGGGCTAGCCAGGACCAAGGCATAGAAGTGTGAGAGTGCACAGCAATTTGGGAGGAGGGTGGAGGCTGTGGATAGCCGAAGCATAGCATCCTTGGGGATGGTGGGTGGAGATGGCACCGAAGAGATGGGTCAGGGGGAAATTGTGAAGGGCAGTGGGGGAGCTGCTAAAGAGTTTGCACTTAGTGCTGTGGACACTGAGAACTACTGACAGTTTTTAAGCATGGGGATTTCAGTCAGATTTGTTTTCTAAAAGGGATCATTCTGGTAATAGTATAGAAGAGGAATTAAACAGTGGCTGTAGAGCCCACTTGGCAAGCTATTGTTGTAGTCTAGGAGAGAAATGGTGAGGGTCTTTGCTCAGACCACCTTAGGGATCTAGCTATTACAGACTTGGGGCGAGTGGTTTCTAAGGCACAAAGTAACATTGACAATAACAGCTACTATTTGTTAAATTCTTACAAGTGCCAGAGGCTATGTTATAGTTGTGAAAAGTGAGACTCATGAAAACTGCCCACAGTCAGGCACTTGGCAGGTACCAGTGCTGGCTGGGACCCAGGTGTGTCTGCTCTAGAGCCCCTGTATCACGGAGCTGCCTCTCAGAGAGGGCCTGCTGCACTGCATGGTGTCTGAAGTTCCTTTAATTTATTTATTTTTAAAGATTCTATTTATTTATTTGACAGAGTGAGTGAGAGAGAGAGAGAGAGAGAGTGCACGAGTGGGGGGAGGGTCAGAGAGACAAGCAGACTCCCCCACTGAGTGCAGAGCCCAACCTGGGGCTCGATCCCAGGACCCTGAGATCATGACCTGAGCTAAGGCAGACACTAAACCGACTGAGCCACCCAGGTGCCCCTGCAGTTCCTTTTAGATCTGAAATTCTTTAAGAACAGATTGAACTGTTTTGAAGTAGTAAATAAATTAGTTACCAGATTTGGGTAGATTTGGCTTGGAGAAATTTTCTAAAGAGGTAAATTCTGAGGTAGGCTGTCAAGTTAGAAGAGATAATGACCCATTAAACAGCCCAGACTATCTAAACACTAAAGTGAAGAGTAAATTCCAGTTGGATATTGAAGGTGTCCTAAGCGGTAGTTTCTATATAAAGACTAGTGAGCATTCTTCACTTGTTTATGTGGATTAACCCCAGAAGAACACTTGTTGTATGCCTTTTCTGTGCTTGGTGCTATTTCAAGTCACCTATGAATTAACTATCAAGTGTTCATTGGAGTATGTCCAAAAATGAGGTTGGACACCAAGATGTGGCTTCGAGCTCCCTTGCCAAATTGCTAATTGCTCTTAGGGCAGATCCAGAGACTGTGGCTTAGCTCAGATTTTGTCTTGATGGTAGTGGCTGCCATTACCACTGGGCAGCAGGGATGTGTGCAGCAAGCGTGTTGAGTGTTCGCCATAGAAGGTTCTTTATCCAGCCCATCAGGGGTAGGGGTGCAAGTGGGGTCTGCCCCAGCTTCTGTGCTGAGCCTGTGCATTAACCGTGTCAGAAATAGACAGGATTAGTAAAACCTAAGAATTTTAAAAAAGATTTTTCATTTAGAAAAATTTTTAATTCCAGTATAGTTAACAGTGTTATATTAGTTTCAGGTGTACACTGTCGTCATTCAGCAGTTCTATGCATTACTCAGTGCTCATCATGATAAGTGTACTCTTGAATCCCTAACACCTGTTTACCCATTCCCCCTACTCACCTCCCCTCTGGTAACCATTAGTTAGTTTGTTCTCTATAGTTAGTCTGTTTCTTGGGAGGCTCCTGGGGGGCTCAGTCGGTTGAGCAACTGACTCTTGATTTTGGCTCAGGTCATGATCTCAGGGTGATGGGCTCAAGCCCCCCCGCATCAGGCTCCCTGCTCAGGGGGGAGTCTGCTTGAGATTCTGCCCCTCCCCCCTGCTTGTTTCCTCGTTCTCTCTCTCTTTCTCTCAAATAAATAAATCTTAAAAAAAAAAAAAAAAAAAAAGCCGGGGTGGACGCCTGTGTGGCTCAGTCAGTGAAGCATCGACTCTTGATTTCAGCTCAGGTCATGATCTCAGGGTTGTGAGATCGACCCCCTGAGTCAGGCTCTGCGCTGGGCATGGAGTCTGCTTAAGATTCTTTCTCTCTCCCTCTCCCTCTGCCCTGCCCCCACCCTCTCCCTCTCTTAAAAAAAAAATGTTCCCTTTCCTTCTAAAAAAAAACAAAAAAGTGTCTCGGGGTGTCTCTCTCTCTTTTTTTTCTCTTGCTCATCTGTTTTGTTTTTCAGATTCAACATATGGGTGAGATCAT